CCTTCCTTCCTTCCTTCCTTCCTTCCTTCCTTCCTTCCTTCCTTCCTTCCTTCCTTCCTTTCTGAGAACCACTGTCCTTGTTGGCTGGGAGTCTATGGTTTTAGCCGCCTTGAACTTGAATGTTTTGACCACCTCTTCAGCTCAAAGCCATGACCAAAGCTTGTCTCTCACAAACATCACCAAGGGGACAAAGAAAGAAATGGTTACTTTTTCCCAAATCAAATGGTACAGAGCCAAGGGTTTGTCCTCTGGCAAATGATACTCATGAATATTTTTTTTTTTTTTTGGTGCCCTTGCAGGGTTTGACCAGCTAACCTGGACTTGACCAACGGCCCTGTGATCCATCATGGCCAATCCACCATTCTGGCTGCCTAAGAATATATTTCCCTTTAAGGTGAATAGATGGATGGGGCTTGCTTGTTTCCGGTCACTGGTGGTCCCCTCACCCAATATTCGCCAGAAGAAACTAATTCACAAGCTTCAGGAGGAAAAGGCTTTTCGTGAAGAGATGAAAATCTTCCGTGAGAAAATAGAAGACTTCAGGGAAGAGATGTGGAATTTCCGAGGCAAGATCCGTGTTTTCCGGGGCCAGATCTTGGGCTTTTGGGAAGAGGAAAGACCATTCTGGGAAGAGGAGAAAACTTTCTGGAAAGAGGAAAAAGCTTTCTGGGAAATGGAAAAATCTTTCCGAGAAGAAGAGAAAACCTTTTGGAAAAAGTATCGTATCTTCTGGAAAGAGGATAAGGCCTTCTGGAAAGAGGACAATGCCTTATGGGAAAGAGATCAGAACCTTCTTCAGGAGGACAAGGCCCTGTGGGAGGAGGAAAAGGCACTGTGGATAGAGGAGCGAGCTCTTCTTGAAGAGGAGAAGGCCCTGTGGGAGGATAAGAAGTCCCTTTGGGAGGAAGAGAATGCCCTCTGGGAGGAGGAAAAGGCATTCTGGGTAGAAGGTGGTGGCTATATTGCTGAGGAACAGGTACTCGAAGATGGGCACCATGACGTCAATGGAGGGCCACGATCCCTGGCCTTCTGCCGAGGCAGGGCATGAACAGAGGGCGAAGGGCCATGGGGTCCAGATTCTGCTGGATTGGGATTCAAGTCCAGGATGACCCCATGTACTAGAGGAAATACGCACTTATCTGTCTCCTTGCTTCAAAAGATCTAATAAAGACCTGAGGAGAGATTTGGAAAACCAGCTTCCTCAAGGAAGGCCAGCTACATTTTTCCCAGCTTTTGTGATTCTCAAAGGTTGTATTCCCATCTTCCAAGCTGTGCTGCTGTCTGTAGAGCTTGGTCCTTGGTAGTTCACCATGAGCCCAGCATATGTGAGTGTGATAGAGACTGTGGCTCACCTTAAGAGTCAGAATGGGGGTGAGGGAAAAGGGAAGCTCAGACGTTGCCAGCTAGAGACACATAGGGACAGAGGGGCTGAGAGAGCTTCGCCTCTGTCACACTGTGGGGCAGTCATTCCTCCTCCACTCTGGGCAGTCTCAGAGGCCTGGAGTGGGCTGACAGCTTCTAGAAAAGGCCAATATTCTGTTAACGATTTGTTTATGCCTTGTCCTCACCTGGAAGGTGATTTAGAGCATACAGGCAGAATCCCCTAGTTGTCCACCTGCCCATAGTTCCAGGTTTCCACCAAACTTCTTCAATTGCCCATTCTCTGTAGCATGAGAAAGGGGGTGCACAAAAGTACTTCCTTTCCCTGTTGATAGAATCAAAGTGGGCCATGTAGAATGATCTGGAAGGTGTAAGGACGTCCTTTCTGTCCCATATATCCCCATTCAGATAGGTCTTACTGTACCTGCATTTATGCATTAACAATTCCTTACTTGGAGTTTCCCTCTTTCCATTCATTTAAAATTGAAACGCCCTAGAAAGGTAATGCATTTAAATGAATGTGCATTAATGTGGTCAGCAATTTACATGATCAACTTCCCTTTATTAGGTCGTCTATATGGGCATTGGTATGGACATGGCGAGAAGAGGGGTAGTAAGAAATACCGAGGCAAGCATCTCTTGCTTTCCCTTCTCTTAGGCCTGGCCCTCATTGTTATTAATGCATCAATTTACCTTGGCTTTGTGCATCCCTTACTTCTTGACAAACAGTTTTACATTCGCCAACTCATGTAACCTTCACCACAGTGCTGTGGGTTGACAGGGAAGGTACATAAACCCATTGTATAGGTGAGGAAACAGATTTAGTGAAGCAAAGTGACTGCATATGGCTAGGCAAGTAGCAAATGGAAGGGCCAGGACTAGAACCCACGTGGTCTGCCTCTTGGTCCCATTTCGTCCCTAATACAGTCCTAGGTCATGAAACATGGCTTTAAAATAGCTCAACGAATAATGGCATCAGGGCTAGAAGAACTTAAAGTGAAAAGATGAGGAGAGGAAAGGACATGGTCCCCCTAGTTGTGCTGAATAAAGAGTCCCGGTCATAGGAGAGTGGGCTGACTTCAGGGACAGGCAGGCCTCTGGGCCTCTGCATTCCTCTGGGAATGTGCGGATCTTTGCAAGGCCTCTGATTTCAGGAGCCAGGGCCAGGGCAGTGGGAGCAGTTTGCTCCTTCGTCACATACCCAGCCTTGCCTCCTCAGCTCCCAACGAACCCTGGGCAAAGAGGTTAACAAGCCTTGGGAACAAGAAGCTGGTGCAGAGAATCTGATTTCAGGGGGAGGCAGTGGGGGCGCTCACTCTAGATGACCCATCCAGTGGTTGGCACACAGGGTTGCAGGAACCCCAATGCAGCAGGAGCTGTAGATTCAGCTATCCCCCATGATTCCACCCCGAAGAAAAGCAAATAGAAGACTGCTGATCTTATGCCCAAGGATGTAAGCCAGGTGGAGGTAGGAAGTGGGAGCATGCAGTGAATCGAAAGACTCCTCTTACAATCCTATAGAAACCTCTGGGAGAGATGACTTCATTTGAAGAAGGACTGGCAGAGCTGCCAAGAGAGGACAGGTGGGTCCCTCTGTGACCCCATTCCTCATCCAGCAAACAGCTGTGAACTTTTACTGTCCCAGGCTCTGTCTTGTTAGGCCTAGGTGGGGAGAAGGGCAGGCAAACAGGTGACTGCCTCCCAAGGTGGGGAGGGCGGTAAGAGACAGACCCGTAGGGTGTTCCTTTGGTGTCTTTTGACTGCCTCTGGCAGCAGGGGTGAGTGGATGGGGTCTGGAAAGGTTTTCTGGAGGAGGCGATGACTGGGCAAAGCCTGACAGCCGTGGAATTCACTAAGGGAGGGGGCGATTCCAGACAGAGGGAACAGCACAGGCTCATGAATGAGGGCAGTGATTTAAAGAACTGCAAACATGTCTGTGAACATGGAGGAAATGTAGGACAGTGAATTGGACAAGAAGGTGGGTAACTGCTGGCATAAGGCCTCGTGGGCAATAGGGAGCCACCAAAGAATTTTAAGGAAAGAATGACATAATAAGATTTAAATTTTAGAAATGACATCTGGCTACTCAAAGTGTGGTCCATGGACCAGGAACATTGACCTTATCTGGCAGCTGGTTGAAAATGCAGAATCTGAGACTTGATCTACTGAATCACAGTCTCTGCAGTTTAACAAGGTCCCTGGAGATTTGCGTGGGTCTTAGAGTTGGAGGCGCTCTCCTGTGCAGGAGCAAGGCTGGAGTGGAGGAAGGCGAGATCATCCAGCAGGTGGTGGCAGCAGTCCAGGTAAGAGGTGCTGGTGCCCTGCCCCTGGCAGCAGTGGGTGTGTGTGAAGAGCCTCCAGCAGCCTGGAAAGCTACTGGGAGGCAGATCAGAGTCCACTGGCCAGGGGATGGAGGCAGTGCTGGAGAGGCAGGTATCCAGGCCGATGCGTAGATTCCTGACTGGGGGTAGGAGGGGGTGGTTGTGCCATCACCAAGGAGGCCTGAGGAGGAGCAGGACAAGTGGGGCCTCTCCGGGTGGGGAGCAGTGGTGCAGGACATGCGAGATGGCAGGTTTTCTTGATCTGCTGTGGAGAACAATTCTTTAGGCCTGATCAGCACTTGGGTGAACTGAACCTTTCTCTTTGTTCAGTCACCCAACAAGAAGTTGTGCAGCCAGCATCCTTTGTTGCATACATCATCCGTCAGTTAATGCACCATCCGTTTATCCATTCCAGCACCATTGTGCCTTGCCGGCACTGTGCTATGCCTGGAATGCGTTGATTCCTGCCCACATGAGGCTTGCTGTCTCGTGGGGGACACAGATAACCAAATGATCACAATGTCATTGTTTATAAAATTTAGCAAATGCTAAGGGGAAGAGGGAACCTGGCACTGCCTCTCTGAGAGCACTTGAACGGCACCCACGAGTGTGTGTGAAACAGAGTGAGATCTGCAGACATAGGACATAAAACCAAGTTTCAGACAAAAGAAACCCAAAGATAGATAATAACTGGGAATCAGTGGACCCTCCTCACACAGGTCATAGATGAAGGAAAAGATGTGGATAATGTCAGTGAAAGTAGCTTCTGACCACCGGGTTCTTATTACTGCTGTTAGCACGAACATAGATTTCTCCCCAACCTCAGCAGCAGCCAAAGCTGGTTTCTTCTTGACGACAGCACCCATAACAGTATCACTAAGTCCTGAAAGGTTTCCTTGGTGTTCCATGACCTAATTCACAGGCAGACAAATCGGAGCAGCTTGCCTCCTTGCAGGGAGCATGTCACCCATGCTATCTCAGGGTCCTGCTCATTCGCCTGGGCCCCAGATTCATAATCATCTTCATTCCAGAATCATAATGCAGATACCGGCAGATCCAAGGTGCCAGGAAGAGCCTCTACTGCTGTAACTGTTACCTCACCACTAAATTCACCCTGAGGAATTGTCACCATTCCCAAAAAAGCACGTGCCCACCCAGAAGCTCTTACCGAAGCTGCCTAAAGGGGAAGGATAACATTTTTGATACATAGTGTGTGGTCCTGTGAAATGTGATCTGCTCATGGGAATCGGCACCAGTACCTGTAGGCCACGGACCACATGCATCAGACTCCTTGGGGGTACTTGTCGAAAATGCGATCCTGGGCTCTGCTTACTGGGTCTTAATCTCTGGGACCAGGACTCAAAACCTGTGTTTTTAACATGTTTTCCAGATGATTCTTATGCAAACTAAATTCTGGAAAACACTTGTGTCTAGTAGAAAACACTGGCATAGAAACCCAAGGCCCCAATTCTATTTCCAGTTCTGCCACTCATGGCCAAGACTTTGAGGGCACAAGGTGAGCCTGTTTCCTCAGCTACAGAAGAAGTGGACTTTTTAAATGAAGAAGTTCTGATTGGCAAGTGTTAGAAATTTGGTGTGAAATATGGAGCTTCTCCTGAGAAGTTAGGATGGGAAGAACAGTTTAGAGTTCCTGCATCCTTCTACAGTCCAGGCACAGGTGCCTGCATGAGGAGGTGTGGCCTCAGCCAGAGCATCCAGCTTCTGTTTGCTGGACATGCGTGAAAAGGGGAGACCAGGAATCAAAGAGGACCCAACAAAGTCCTTGCTTACTTCACTGCTATCTGTGCATAGGCCTGAATCTCTCCTCAACCTCTGGGGGACAAAGTTACTAAATACAATGTAAAAGATATGAACTTTAAGTAGGAAAAAAATATTCAGCTGGTAAAAATTTAATATGGATCACAGACCAATGACACACTGAAAAGACCTGCTACAGTTACTTGGAATTTGCTAGAACATTCTTGACATATCTATAAACTCCCTGAGAGCTAGTGGGTGCCTAGACATGCTGAACAGAATTCTCTGTTCTTCAAAGGGCCATCCAGTGTGATGTGCCTAATTCTCATCTTTGGAACTTGTGAAATAGTTTACCATTTAATTCAGACCCAGAAGAACAAAGGGTCATGCATAACTTGTTACTGTTAATAGTCATGAAAGTAGTATGAGAATGTGAATGGACTTAGCCTGGGCAGTCCTGATGCCAGTGGTACCTCTGTTGCTTACCAGAGTGTGACTAGTGTGACGAGGGCTGCTCTAACAAATTACCACAAACATGGTGGCTGAAAACAACAGAAATTTACTCTCTCACCGTTCTGGAGATCAGAAA